TCTATATTTAGAACTAATTCCAACTAGGGGGCCGAGCGCTGCGAAAAGAACAGGCTAGGGGCCGAGCGCCGCGGCTAGGACAGGCTAGGGGGCAGGGCACTGCAGTGGCCACATGATCCATTTTATCCACGTACAAAATTGATAGGAATGGGGGCCGCGGGGGGGGGGGGGGTCAAAAAGTCGAATTCGCTGGGTAAGGGCTTTACAGAAATGCGTAATTGATGGGTCTGTACTAGAACGATTTTTAAACCCCCCAACCCACCCCCTCCTATAAAGTTTATACATGACCACTAATTTTAAGCAAAAAATTATCATTATTTATTATTTTAGGGTTAGGTTAGATTACGACAATTTCTGGGCCGAGCGCTACGGCTAGGACAAGCTATGGGGCCGAGCGCCGCGACTATAGGACAGGCTAAGGGGCGGGGCGCTGTGGCCACATGACCCATTTTTTCCACATGTACAAAATTGATAGGAATGGGGGGGGGGGGGGTTGTCCAAAAATCGTTCTCTAGGAAATTACCAATTAAAATTTTTATACTCACAGGACATCCGTGTTTGCTTTCACTTCACTCTTCAGCTTTTCCTCGAAATTTTCTCGAAAAAGACGAATATCAAACTCAGAAGAGGAATTCAATGAGTTTGAGTGACTGTACACTATGATCAGTGTACATATATGTACTTACGTGTTGCACAAAATACTCAGTACACTTATATTTTTGCTCAGATTGAGTACACCGTGACCCGTGATCGTACGGTTGAACGAGGTTAACGCAATTAATTGACACCAAGGTATAGTGCAAGGAAAGTTAATTGCTCTGTTGCGTATTCTCTGCGCACATTTGAAACCATGCTCTCTCTGGGTGGTGTTTGTAAAAAAATTGAAATGATGCATCACTATTCTTCTAGTGTGCGAGGAGGAGAAAAGCAATTAGCATAATGAATTTTAATATTTTGATAATTCACACAATAGTTTCCTATGACCACAATATTTCATTGATTTTTATTTTTTACCGCCCAGAGACAGTACACTGCATTACTAAAAATGCGTAAACCTTTGACATACCATATCTTTACATTATAATTCTTTGATTGAGACCAACAGATCTACAATGCAATAATCCCACACACATACACAAACACCCGACACCGATTGACCGACCTTTATTGTACGCATTTATTATGTTCCACCTTCTGCGTAATTGAAATATTGCTTCTTAATATTTGTTCCTTCCCAAGGGTGTAATGCAAGGAAAGTTAATTGCGGCCGTGAATTATACTCTGCGTACATATTGAAACCAGTTCTCTTGGGCGGAATTTGTAAACAAGAATAATGCATCATATCAGTGTTCGCTTAGTATCCGAGGAGCTTAAAAGCATTAAATTTGATAATTTTGATAATTCATATAATAGTTTTCTATGACCAGAATATTTCATTGATTTTTTTATGTGAAAGATGGATCCCATGTCAGGCTGTAACATCCGTCTTGTGTTTACATTACCGCCCAGAGACAGTACACAGCAGTACAAAAGATGCGTACACTTTTGAAATAACTTTCTTTGCATTACATCTTTGTTCCTTCCAATCAGAAGGCTAGGGTCGCAATCAGAGGTGGCTTACAATATATTCAGGGGCGTACTAAGTAATTTGTACGGGGGGGGGGAGGCTTAAAAACTTGGGCGAAGAGCGAGGGAGGGAAGGCACACCACTGCATCATTTTATTTTTCTCGTGCGATCACATAAAAAACGTCAAATAATAAACTTCTCGGCATAGTGTGCTAAATTATTTCTAGAACCTAAGTTCGACCACATTTTATAAAAGAAATCAAATGATTTATTCTCTAGCATTTTCACAAGTAATCTCCCTAGTGAATCTATAAATTGTAAGAACAAAAATCTATAATAAATTAAAAAATTGATTTCTCGATGCCGTGATGTTTTTTTTAAAGAAGGGATATGTTTTTATTTTCTAATTTGTTAATATTTAACCTTATAAAGAAAATCTAGTTTTGTTACGTGAGTGCGCGTAAATGCTGAAACATTGACATTGATATCTTCTATTTTAACTTTTAACTGTGCAGCTCTAAATGTGAGCAACTTTTCTTTGTACAATAATGAAAACAATTCTAGGGTTTAATAAAATTTTCGTACATTTTCAAACTTTTACAAAAATCAAAACATTTGGACACAAATTTTTGAAATTTTGAGCATTTATAAACCTTCCCTGAGGTCATGTGAGGTCCCACACAAAGTTTCAGCCCGATCGGTTCAGTCGTTTAGATGTTTATTGGATATTAACTGCTACGATAGACGTCAGGCAGAAAGCAAAGTAAAATCTGTAATCTATATATTTACTTTTCTGGTCTGTCTTGGTGTCTGTTTGTTTGTGTCCAATAAACTTTAAAACGGCTGACGCGATAAGGCAAAATTTTGTGCGGGACCTCACATGACCTCATGGGGAAGGTTTATGAATGATCAAAATTACAAAATTTAGTCTCAACAAAGTTCGGCTTTCATTAAATTATGAAAATCCACGACATCTTTTTTATAAAATCCGCAAACCTTTTTTACAGTGTATTTAAAGAGAAAATGTTCAATTGAGATAGAAGATGGACGCGAAGCGCCCTGAAAGAATATATAGATATATATACTTTGATTGTCTGTGTATTTTTTTGTATCCAATAAACGTGAAAACAAAAAAAAATCCACAAAATTTGTTATTATTGTTTTATCAAAGAGAAAATGCTGAAGATTTAAGCATCATATAAAAGTTGAAAGTTTTGACAATAATTTAATAATTTAAGGACTGAAGAGGATATAAAATATATCGAAATTAATTTCCAAACCCGAGTTGTTCTACTTGTGAGAGTAAAACCTTTTTTTTGCCAGTTTGGACAATTTACATTGAAACAGAAAATGAGCGGGAAGCGCTCTGATAGCTTAGTATGTTTACATATTAGCAATGGCTGGCCAAACGGCTGAACCAAATTGGCTGAAATTTTTTTTAATTTGATGAAAAAAAATTAAGTTTTTTTGTAATTCCACGGGTAACGCCGCGCCGTAGCTATAGTTCATTACAAGGTTCATTATAAAATGAGGACAATGTTAAAGCATGATAAACAAGCAAATTAAAAAAATAAATCAAATTTCTAATCGGTTTTTAATCGAGGAAAAAAGGTTAATAAGTAATAAGAATTAGTTGAACTATAAGTAATTATTACTATGTTGAACCACTTTTCTTCTGTTCCATAGGTTTCAGAGAATTGGTTCAACTACCTCTTGCTACTCCTATGTATTAATATCGACTGAGACAATTTAACAAACGAGAAGAGCATGAAAGAATGAAAAGTAGGAAAAGGAAAAAGAAAATGAAAAGGGGGAAAATTGGCAAGAATTTTAACTTTTGTTACCAATCGTACATGATAGGGGGCGGTTATTTTTTAATTTAAGAAATTGAGTTCTTTCTGAAATAAATTATTTGATAAAGTTTTTTTTTGTAAAAGGATAATTTTTAAATAATTTATATTTTTTACAATTTGAGAAACTTATTCTTTACTCTTTTTTTGTTAAAATAAATGATTTTAATCAGCTAGCAAGAAGTACCAAAATGAAGAAAAATTTAAATTTATTGATTTGCAGTAATATACATTTCTCTTTGGTGTATAGCCTTTATCTGAAATCTCATCATAAAATCTATTCTAAACAGAGTTTTATAGTGTATGACATTGCTCCACTTGGAAAGGATATATTGGAAAGCATTTTTTTGTTCTGATGGAAACAGACACTCTAGTTTGAGTAGAAGTAAATATTTCCCTTTACTGATAGTGCCGATTGAAGGATTCATAACTCTGATTGGATAATGAGATAGATAGAAAGATAGATGTTACCACCATACTTTTTCTATTGGTTCAGATTAGACAACAAACACATGACTGAACCCTGGTTGGATCAGGCACTAATGACTCTGTATACAGAAGTGTTAAAAGAAAACATATTGCAAACCGGCAAAATATCTATCTAAAATAAATTATAAAGTGTAATAAGTTAAAAGTCCAGTTTGTTTAGTCTTGAGTCATTAATGTGGGCAGCAGACGCTGAACTCCAACCTTCGAGTGTGCGAGGTGGGGAAGACTTCACTTCAGATTTTACTTTTGTACATGACCACTTTTTCAACAATTTTCAATTAAAATAGTATTTATTTAGGGTTAGGTCAGGTTAAGACACTTTCTGGGCCGAGCGCTGCGGCCACGGGTTTGGTTAAGTTATGACACTTTCTTTTATTTTGGGTTAGGTTAGGTTCAGACACTTTCCGGGCCGAGCGCTGCGTCTAGGACAGGCTAGGGGGCCGAGAACTGCGGCCACGGGTTTGGTTAAGTTATGACACTTAATTTTATTTTGGGTTAGGTTAGGTTCAGACACTTTCTGGGCCGAGCGCTGCGGCGAGGACAGGCTAGGGGCCGAGCGCTGCGGCCACGGGTTAGGTTAAGTTATGACACTTTCTGGGTAGAGCGCTGCGGCTAGGATTCAATCTCGATCTACAAATGTCATCCCCCCTTAATCATGTTTTTAATTAAGTGGGGCAGTGAAGTCTTCCCCACCTCGCACACTCAAAGGTTGGAGTTCAGCGTCTGCCATTAATGTGGACCTTTTCTGCAGTTTTGAGGTCAACATTTTTTGGGCTCTGTTTGGTATATGACTCCTATTGTTTTTTTTTTATAATAAAAGGAATCCCTAAATACTATGGTGTAACTTTTCAAATGTCTTTAATTTTGTATTTCATTTATCATTTAATACCCCACAATGTTTAAATGAAAATATTTATGAAGGTTGAGGGAAAGGATTTTCTCAATTACTCAATTTTTAAAAAATATTTTTAAAGTAATTTTCAAGGATGCCCCCTTAGGCCTGAACCGTGCCCCTAGCGACGCGGGGGAGGGGGTGGCTTCCTTTCTAACTATCTATATAAGTGTACATCTATCTTTCTATCTATCTATTTCTCCACTTATTCATGTGTTGACCTACCTCTCCTGTAGCTTTGCCCCCGGCTTGACAATGAATTCTACAGGTTGACTCCGCGGCGCAGAGAGCAAATTCACTCGGAGACAAATATTCGTCGGAGCATTTACAATCCAGGTCTCCGTCTACAGTGGAGCAGACTCCGGTCTTCCTTCCGATAGAGTTGCATGTACCCTGATTAACAAAATAATCTGGTTAAACGTGGTAGTTGAGTTGAAAATGCATTATTGTGGAGATATTTATTAGAAATCATTTGATTTCTTCAAGACGTTTTTACGTTGTATAATTATTCAGAAAGATTGAAAATTGGATCATTAAAATCGAATCCTGGATTGTCCAACCCGCCAGGTAGGCGTGCAGGGACAAAGCCTGTCAGAGACCTGCACGCCTGCCTGACGGGTTGGACAATTCAAGAGGAGTTCTAGCCAGACACTTCCTTTTAATGCACTTTAAGTCATGTAAAGTTGAGCGGAATTCAACCTAACCCTGCTGGAATTAAAATTGGAAGTAGGAATTAGATATACAAGCTTATATTACTCGCGCATTTCCAGTGCAGATAAACCATGTATAAATTATCAGAATTCAACACTTTTAAATGAAAGAGTTTAAACTATCAGATGTTTCAAGGGCACCGTTGATAATTTGGCATGTTCATCTTTAAAGAAGGCGTCACTTACGCTTACAGTTCCTTTAATTAAGCAAATTTGTAATTTTTACGTCAGTCGGTTTACTGAAAGAATATACAATCACCCCCCCTCTCTGCATTCCTTCATTTCTCTATAATACTAGACATTGAATTACATTATCAAAAATTGACGTTAGCCCAATACAAAGTTTTCCTGCTTATTCTGATTTATCTTAAATTAAACATTCAATTTCATGTAATAACTTATTACATGAAATTGAATACAAGGAATACCAGACGGCCCGTCGGCCTTGGAGACAAAAAACTTGTTAAAAAAGGTCCACTATCAGGTTGCAAAGCTATAGGATTTATATACTTATACTTATACTTATAAGTTTGAGGTGAGTGATTATTTCCCCTCAGATCATTTTTCATTCCAGAACCATGAAAACGTACTTTCCAGTGAAGCTCCTTTTAAAGAATGCACAATTCACATGTCCATTGTCCGATTAGTATGAATCGCCTTTGAAAACTGTTTATTTTGCATTAGCTGATACTGTACCAAAGTGACTTGCGCATTTCTTACTCCAGAAATAGTAAAGAATTTATCAGAATTAAACACTTTTTGAGTCATAAAAACAACATTATTTTCCACATTATAGATCTCATTAAGATTTCAATTGGCTAATGTTGTGAATTTTGCATGCCTCTCTTTTATATGGAGATTCACTAATAATTACGAGGACAGACTCTTTCTAAAGTGGAATCGCACAGTTCGTAGAAAAAAGTCATTGAGCAGGTTTGAATTTATGTGATGAAGTTACAGTAAAACAGTGTTTGGAAAATAAAAAAAACACCATGGAAAAAAGTCCAAAATCAATCATTAATCAATATCTTTAGAAAAATTTCATATGAATGAAACAATATTTTTTAAATTTTTTTTTCTCATAAATTTTTTGATGATAGGAATCATAACTTTTTGATTTTCTAGATCTTTTTTTGATTGATGTATCCCATGGATCTGGATTTCGATTTACAAAAATTCAATATTTCATTTATGCCCTTACGTTGCCAGATTAAAAAAAATCATCTTTAAGGATTTGACACTTTTAAAAAAATATTATAGAAGGGAGAGGATTTTGAGGGGGCTCGGAAGAGAAATCGTGGTGGCTGGCCTTCTTACTCTCTTTGAGGTTTACCTGGCAAAAAGATTCTCCAATACTGCATCTTGATGGCAACAGAGATTTTATGTTCTTTAAACTGAAATAAAATAATTTATTATTCAAAACTTTTCAGGTTTGGAGCAAGGATCAGGTTTTAAGTATTGACATTTTAAAGATCCATTTGTAACGGTAAAGTTGGTTTGTCTATGTACTATTTTGTGAAGGATTATGTAGTTTGTAAAGAACTAGTATGTATACAGAAGTACAGAAGTGAATCTCGGGATCAAGCATTGATCTCCATCTTAAGCTAGAGTTTAGCATTTCGTTCGCTCGTGAAAAATGGAAAAAATTTCGCTTTTTTCGCGAAATTTAACTTTAATCTGTTTTGCTCAAAAATGCGAAATTTTCACAAAATAAGAAATGCGAAAATTTCACGAAACAACTCGAAAATTTTGCGAAAAATAACAAGGACCAGAGCAGCTTCTCACTTTTCATGTTTATCAATACAAATTGTTTCAGATTGCGCCTCTATACTTAATAAACATGGTTAAACTGATGTTTTACAATAATAATTATGAATTTTCTAAATGTTTTAACAGATTTTCAAGAATTCAATTGGTCACCCCCCCGTACCCCCTGTTTTTTATTACATTCTTTGGAAATACTTATATTTAATTACTTTATTAAAAGCTCTTATTTAATCAAACAGATTATTTATTGGAATAGAAAAGTATAATATATTAATTATAACTTTATATTCAAGATTTAGAACAAAGATACAAATATCTTTTTAATTATTTTAATTATTTAATACTTTTAAAACAAAGGATTGGAGTCTTTGCAACAAACTTTGATTTTATAATTCCTAAATTTTTGCAACCCAATGTAGTAGACCTTAGATATTTCAAACTATGAATTCTGTTAGATCAAATAATCTAAATTTTAAATATTAAAGGTTTGCACCATCTGGTTGCAAAGATATAGGGATTAGAAAATTTAAGTTTGTGACAGATACTTAATTCCTTTCTAAAATATTTTCCAATATGTATACGGTGATAACCAGAAAACTTTGAAATAGGAAGACGACTTTTAGAACCAATTAAGGACTTTAGAAAGACCAATGAGCATGAGAAACAACAATTGTGCAGTGTAAACAGACCCATTTCACTATATAAATTATTTCATAGACGCCAAATAAAACTAAGTGCTTTGTAACAACGTCAAATACAAGTATTGCAATAATGTCGTCTTTCTATTACATTTTTTTCTTGTTATGACTGTATATGCCTGGAACATCCTGTTCCAATAAATATCGGGAAGGAACTAGTTCTTTGTTTCATTAGGAACTGTTTTAGGAGCATCAGCATCAGAGATACACTCACACCTCCAACCATCACACTAAATACAAGAAATTCAAACAGAGCTGACATAATGGGTTGGATTTAAATCCTCTAGAACTGAGAGAAATTCATCCCCAATTTTAGGTTCTAAAAAGTCAGAAAAATGATTTCATATTTCTTAATTCATTATGATATAATAAAACTTCTAATGCTGAGCTCTCAGATTAGAGAATTCCAGCAGTTTTTTTGCGCAATTAATTGTTTCAGCTATGGTTTTTCGCGGAATTTTTTTTCGCAAATTTATTTTTTCGCAAAATTTCGCGAAAAAGTTTGCAAAATACGAACACAAATTTTCGCATTTTTTCGCAAAAGTTTTCGTTCGCTGGAAACCATATCTTAAGCAGACCTACGTAACGTATTAATTTGATTCCTCTTTGATATCCTAAGCGTTCATATAATCTGGTTTGTTTCAACCTTCCACCAACTATACATGTTCATACTCTTTAAATAAGAAATCAAGCATGATTCTCAAATTTGAAAATGCAATCATTGGATGTCGAGAACTAGCGTTTAAGATTAACAATATTTACAGAAAAGTTCCGACCACAGGTTATAGGTTTGCTTTAGTTTAGTTTTTAGTTTGGTTTTAGCTTTAGGTTGGGTTTCAGTTTGGATTCTAATTCTGGGTTAGGCTTATAGTTTGGGGTTCAGGTTTAGTAATTCGTTCGGAAAAAAATGTTTTGTAATCTGTTTGTGTTTGAGGTTTAGTTTGAGATTAAGGTTCGATTTCAGTTTTGCCTTCAGGTACGGTCTTGGCTTTAGAGTCAGGCTTTTTTTTGTTGCGACTCAAGTTCAGGTTTAGTTTTAATTTGCTATTGAGAAATGGTTCTGGATTGGGAGCTAGGTTTGGTTTGGGTTTTAGTTCCATCTTGTTTGGGGATTCAGGTAAGGTTATTCTTTTGGGATTGAGGTTGAATTGGGATTTATGATTTTTATGATTTGGGATTCAGCTTTTTGTTTGTTTGGAATTAAAGTTTTTTATTTGGATTTGTGATGATGGTTGTCTTTGGTTTCGGGTTTAGGTTCGGCTTTGGGATTGATAAATTTCAGTTTTTGATTCGTGTTCGGATTTTGATTCAAGTTCTTGTTTTGTCTTAGTTTCAGTTTTGGCTTTTGATTCAGGTTTATTTTTTATTTAGGATAGGTTTAATTTGGTTTGGGGTTTCAGTTTGGTTTTGAGGTTTTCAGGTTTGGTTTGGAGTTTTCAGGTTTGGTTCAGAGTTTCAGGTTTGGTTTGGATTACCTGATGGATCTCTCACTGCAATGACAGGTTCCCTCAGCGTCACAAATCCCCGAAGTTTGACCGAGCAGTACACAACCCGCAGTACAACCAGGGTTTCCGAACGTACATCTAAATATTTCTTATATAATCTTCTTCTTTTTTTGAAATGTTTGAGTGTAGAATATTAATTGTCAAGTTTCCAATTTTGAATTTCTCGTTAATTCAAGGAAAACAACAAAATTACCCTCCCCCCCTTCCCTCCCCATTGTTCTCTTAAAAGTTCAGATCAAGTTTTATCTGGTTTTTAAACTTGTTATTTTATCTTAAATAGTAATTTCTATAAAGTGCTTTTATTTTCTTCGTAATCATTCCAACAAAAAATTCATAAATTTTAATTATAATCGAATGTTTGATAACTACAGGGATTAAGGATTTTTAACCTACCACAAATATATGGAAATGATTGATGCGTTTTTTCATTTTTTTGTACTCATTTTTGTTAATTATGGGGAGGGACCTTTTTGTACGCTTAGGGGTGGGGGGAGGGGGGGATTGAGTAATAATCTGGACATTGGGACTTATATAAAGCTTAAAATATGAACTGTTCCTTTAAGACCGAAGTTGGGTTTGAAACTTTATTGTTTTTAAAAGAAATTATTAAAAATTAATCCTGTTTTTAAGTGACTTGTTAAAAACAACTTTGAAATCCACATGTCACGTAATAGTGATCTGCAATTAACAATATAGGAATTGAGCATTTGCCACAAACTCTAATTTTCTAATCCCTATATCTTCACAACCCAAAGTCGTAAACTTTAGATATTTCAAACTCTGAATTCCGTTGGATCAAAGAATCTAAGTTCGAAACATAAAAGGTTTACACTATTAGGTTGCACAGATATAGGGATTAGAAAATTAGAGTTTGTTGCAAAAACTCAATTCCTTTGATTATTAATTTTCAACATTCATAATCAACTCAATTACAAATTGAGGAAACCTTTTAATATGTATGGTATCGTTTTTCACGCAAGAAAACGTGTATCTTTTGTTGCGCAGGGGCAAATTCAAAGATTTATTGAAACATGGAAAAACAGTAGAACAGAAGGAACATCATAAGTTGTAGATAGTCTATTCGAGTCCACAGAGATAAAGATAGCAACTTAGGTTCAAGTCTAAAGATAGATACGGAGAAATTGGACGGTTATTTATATATATTTTTAACTTTTAATTGCTTTTTACTGACAAACTGAGTGTCTTGCTCATAATTTTAGAAAATTAATTTAAATTATGAAAAGTCTAAAAATATAACTCGCTACACTTTATATATATATTGTCCTTAAATGGTTAATGAAAAAATCAGATAGACTAGAAAGAAAAGAATCCCAACTGAAACCATTTTGTTATAATTTTATTATGGTTTAACCGGAACCATTTACATTTTGATTTTCAGGAAGTTTCATTAAACGGGAAAATAATTTAAATTCATTTTGTCTAAACGCTCCATCAAAAAGTCCAAACCCGCGATTTCAATAAATTTGTATTCGTAAATCCCTTTAGCTTATCATTTAAAAAATATAAATTCTCTGGTTAGGCCAGAAGAGAATCAACCTATAATAGTATCCCCAGTATAACAATCAGCATTCCTTGAAATCCCAACATTCTGGTGATTTCAACTAGTGGAGATAGGGCAACAACTGAAGTAAAGAGATATTTCCCTTGTAACGGACAGAACGCTACTGAGTACAGTGGACAGTGGCTGAACTACATTTTTCTGGTTTAGATTTCAATCTAACTTTTATATTTTATAACAATATAAATTATTATCACAGATAAATTAACATCTTATTCGTTTTACGCGTTTAAAAGTGTTGTAAAATATTATGATTTTATTGATTTTTTTTTTAAATGTTCCCTGAGTTCACTGAGCTGTGAATTCATACAAAACGATGTTAGTCAACCCAGCTTTATCTAATTCATTAATATTACGCAATCATTTCCGTTCAATTTTAAATTTTACATCGTTTACGAAGTAGCATTTATAGCAAGCAAAATTTGGCAGAAAACACCAGTTAATCCAAGAATAAGTATCTAAGGGTGTACTATATGTTCTTTTTTTGTATTTTAAGTCTACTTCATAATAATTTATGTTAACCAATAAAATAAAGTGTTTTTCCCCTCTAGCATTTTTGACACTTTCATGCTTAAAACTTCTTTACTTTAAAGTAATTTAATAGATTTTAAACTAAACTAAAAATTTTTTTTTATTATTGAATAAATATTGCAGGGTGTGGGATAGTTAAAACTCGAAAGGCCGGTCGGTGATTTCAAAATTCTAAAATAACCCACTGAAACCCACATAGTTTTGTCATTCAAGAGCTACGTATATAAAACTTACATTTTTTCAAAGCCCTTGAAAATTTTGTTTGGTACAATCCTTTTTTTTAATAAATGACCGAATGGGCTGACATTTTTTGAGGTAACCCTTGAGTACCCCGAGGGTAGCATGCTAAAAACTTGGAATTTTTTTTCTTCAAAATTTTATTTTCTTTTAATCAAAAAAATTTCAAAAATCAAAACTTTTTTTTAAAATTCGATTTAAAAAAATTCCACGGGCAACGCCGGGCACTTCAGTAGCCTCAATATTTATATTTATATGTTAGCTATAGCTGAAAAAACGGCTAGGCTGACATTTTTTTAAGGAACGGCCTGAGTATCTTCAAAAAATCGATTTTTAAAAATTCCACGGGCATCGCCGGGCACATAAACATGTATAACATAAACATGTACGAGAAAAAAATACTTTTATGAAAATAGTTATATCATTAATGTACATATCGTATATATTTTAAACTGGACATTATAGATTACCAATATTTTATGGTTTCGTTCATATACTTAATTTTATGAATTTTAATTCAAATAGTAGGCATGTTATGCAAAAAATCAGAGATTAATAACAATACATATAGAAGACTAGATGTCGTCTTTAAACGATTTGGGGGTTTTCCTTCACAATAATCCTGAGGCAGAAGCTCAAAGGAGTTAGAACAGGCTCTCTCTCTATGTTTTGTAATGCAACACGGCATACGCTTAACTTCTTTGGGCTTCTGTCTCAGAGTTATTGTGAACGAAAACCCCCTAAATCTTGAAAAGACGACATTTATTTTTCTATCTGTATTGTTTTTAATCTATGCAAAATGCCTGGGACAACCAACTGATGTGTTTTTCTTATAAAGTATTAAACTTTACATCATTATGTTTTTTCGTTTAGACTAATTCTTGTTTAAAGAGTTAATTTTTGAAAATTTATTTTAATAACATCTAAGGGATTGATAACCTTTTAAAATATTTTTTAGAATTTTTTGTCCGGGTTATTAAAGAATTGTAAAAAAATTTCTTCTGCTGCCTGAAACAACTGGTGCAATAAGTATATAAATAAAAATATATGATATATGAAAGATTTCAAAAATTTTGGTTATTTTTAATAAAATAAGATTGTGACAAAATTATCAATATCTCAGTTATTTTTGAAGTTAAAAAAATAGGTAAAGAACATTTTGCAATTATCAGAATTATAGAAATATGGTGTTAATTGTTTTTAATATGTTTTTACAGTGATAACCATAATACTCTGGAAAAGGAAGATGACTCATAGACTCAAAGTTTGTCTTAAAATAGTCCAAAGTACATGAGAGACAGCAATTGTTCAGTGTAAACAGACCCATTTCCCATAATAAGTGATTTAATAAGATAAGAATTGAACTATTTGCTTTAAAACAACATTAAATACACTTGACTATTGCATCAATGTCGTCTTCTTATTCTCTGTTAGATCAGATTTACTAATGAATATTTATTGGATCGAAATGGGGGGTTGATAGTTCCCTACCTGTGTCCTCAGTTAGCAGTACTGTACACAACTGTTTACTAATATTGATATACTATAGGTTAGGCCCACAGACTACACAGACTGCACATACACTCCATGCACTCTACCTGGATAGGCTGAGTAGGCCTAAAGTGTCCCGGCACGCCATGCTACGGTTCCATGTAATGTTCTTTGACTGACATCTGACGGCCAAATTGTTGCATTCAGGGGTTAAGTTTTACAACTTTCAAGGAAATACTCCAATTTTAAACATAAAACATAACGTTTATGAATATTGCCTATTTTCAAAGATTTTACATTTCCTATTCAAAGGATCCTTAAATATCCCTGAATACAGATGTCTCCTGATTGGTCGTGTACAGTACTTGTACACAATAGAACAAGCTGTGGAAAATATCGCATATTATAGGTGTTAATCGATCTCTATAACTCTCTCATCTCTGGTTAGGCCAGAAGAGAATCAACCTATAATTATGCTGTACGCTTTCAGTATTATAGTTCATACAAGTAGTAAATAGTAATAATAATAATGGATATATCTCAATTGTCGGAAGTTTAGATTAAAGAGAAAATATAAGGTTTAAAAATTCGTCTGTAATTTCCCGAAGTGAATGAGAGCAGAATTAAATGCAATAGGATGATGAGTGGGAGATAGGCTTTATAGTGCTTTATTTCACTGCAAACTAGACAGAAGGATTACTAGTGAACCTTTGTGAACTCTTAGCTCCACCAGCTTTCATTTTACGTATAATACAGTGATAACCAGAAAACTCTGAAATAGAAAACGACGACTTTATTGCAATACTGAAGTGTATTTGATGTTATTAAAAAGAAAATAGTCTTAGTAGACACTTAATCATTCACTTATTACCTTAAATTGGTCTGTTTACACTGCACAACTGCTGTGTCCCATGCTCAATGGACTATTTAAAGTCGTAACTTGGGTCAAAAAGTCGTCTTCCTATTTCAGAGTTTTCTGGTTATCACTGTCTGAGAAAGATTGCAAATTTAAGAAACTGAATAGCTCTTTATATTATTTATAAGACACTAGCTGGAGTGTCCGGCGTTGTCCGTGAAAAAATCTCTTAGCCTGTATTACCTCCTGCAGGGTGTCCATGGGTTCTCTTCAGAAATATCATCCAATTTTGTCCACCTGTTTGGCCAGCTAAAGACATATTGTAACCTCTTCAGTCCTTATACGGACCCGGAGCTAAGATGTAACCAGTGTAGTGAGCTCAATAGCTCGGAAAGGGGATATTACATATA